GCTAGGACCTTTCGACTGTTGACAGTGCATGGATCAAGGTATACTTCGAGGACCATGTTGGGCGATATTGCTTCATACAGATGTCGTGTCATTCGTTATGATACATATACTCTGTCTGCAAACCCCGCTCGTCATGTCTCGTATCGAGCAGAGCTCCTCATGACCGAGATGTTGTGCTGTGAGCTTTTGTCGAGACCTGCCCTCCACTTGATGCAGATCAGATACGTACCCAGCCACTTACGAGATACCCTGTCGTCCGATCACAACGTACTCTCGAGGGCGAGAACCTGCATACATTAGCGATGCCCTGTCAGGTACTGCGTACTCACCATTGCGGTCCTCGTTGGGATGTAGACCTGCAGGAAGTTCTTTCTTCCATTCCAAGCAAAGTCGGTCGTGAAGAAGCGTTGCTCGCTCTGAATACGGTTCAGGCCACCGAATGCAGACTCATCAGTGTTGAGGACGATCCTATAGGTGCCAGCCACTTCGACACCGACTCTGTAGTCTGTGAAACTGCTCGATGGGTGAAAGTTGAAGATCCATAACAACCCAGCTCGCTCAAAGACGATGACCTTGTCGCCTTCGTGCTTCAGACTGATGTATGCTTGTGGACTATGTAGCCAGCCATACTTCTGCTCTGTCCATTGCATCGCTGCATCAAAGTCATTGAGGAATCGGTAGCGTAGAAGTAGGTCGTCAACGAGGTTGAATTGTCTGCGGGCGTAGTGGAATGAGTTGCCATTACCCTCTCGAGGAAAGTCGAGCCATTCAGGATGGCCAAATTCGTTGCCTTCGAAGTTGAGGTATGCTTCTCCTCCAAGGCCGTGAGTGATGAGTCGAATCATCTTATGCAGCGCCATGCCTCGCTCGATGACTGGTGTGAACTCTGAAAGCGTCGACATGTTGGTGTACATCTGAGCATCGCACAGCCAGAAGAGCAAGGTCTTGTCTCCGACGAGGCTAGGATTGTTAGTATTGTGGTGAAGCACTGATATCACTTACGCTTGATCGTGACTTTCAGCATAAGCGATAGTCTTCTCTCCATGTCTTCGGTTAGTCAAGGTGAAGCACAAGCTGCCCATGTCCCAATCAATATCCTGCTTCTCCTTCAACCACTTGATGTAGAGATCAGGCACGGCCATAGCGAGTCTGTAGTCGAAACCTATTCCACCAAGACTCAAGGCAATGCACAACGCTGGCATACCACTCACATCTTCCGCGATCGTAATAGAATCAGGATAGAGGTTGTGCAGCATCTCGTTGGCAATCATGAGGTAGACAACGCCGTCCTCGTCCACACTGGGTCCGAAGTACTCGTGGTAACCACCAGAGAATCCCGTACCGATACCGTGGTGAAGGTAGAGCATGGAGGTGACACCGTCAAAGCGGAAACCGTCGAATTGGTACTCCTCCATCCAGAAACGTAGATTTGACAACAGGAATCGCAGGACTTCGTGGTGGCCGTAGTTGAACAGTCGAGAATCCCACAGCTCGTGTCGTCCTCGAACACCCTCGTGGAAGTAGAGGTGATCAGTACCATCGAGCTGGTTTAATCCGTCAAGAACGTTCTTCGAGGCATGTGAGTGCACAACATCGAGTAGAACAGTGATTCCCATGCCATGTGCTGTATCTATCAGCTCTTTCAGATCGTCTGGCTTGCCATAGCGACTGCTCGCAGCGAAGAATGAGTTGATCTGATAGCCGAACGATGCGTAGTATGCGTGCTCCATGATTGCCATCAGCTGAATGGTGTTGTAGCCAAGCTTCTGTATGCGTGGAAGAGTATTGGCTGTGAACTCCTTGTACGAGCTAACCTTGGCCTCAGGACTACTGATGCCAACATGTGCCTCGTAAATCCTCGCGCTTTGAGGCTTTGGAGGCCTCTTGTTCTTGAACTGATAGCTGTGCGGTGGATTCCAGAATCGAGCATCGTATACTGGGCTGACATTCAGATCCTGTGTGACTCTTGTTATCCATGCTGGGATTCTCTCGATTCGGGCGTGGTCATTGGGTATGACCAAGCTGATCTTGACCTTGCTGTCATGTTCAATGGCAGGCTTGCCGTCCACAGGTGACAGACTAATCTCCCATACACCATATGGATCTCTCTTCATCTCATGGCTGTCTCTGTTCCAGTTGTTGAAGTCACCGATGAGGTATGCTCTGAGAGCATTCGGTGCCCACTCGCGGTATGCGATTGTGCCATCTGACGAGACGGTGAAGCCAAATCGCTCGTATCCACGGGAGAACTTCTCCAAGCCTCCTTCGTTCTTGTCAATCTTTTTGATCCAGTCTTGTGCTTTGGCATAACGACGGCGAAGGGAGTCTTTGTACGGCTCGAGGTATGGGTCTAGCTGAATGACGCCTGGCAATGTTAGTTGTGCTACAATGGAGCTATTCTACATACCTGTGCCATCGTTCGGTACGCTGGAGCTCGCTGGAACTCCTAGCACGCTGTTGTCTGACTGCTGGTTGAGGGCGTCCATGGCTTATGGACGGTCGATGCTGGGGATGTGGTGAGACTGAACGAATTGTCTCATGTAAACTTGGTCAGAGGTCAAGCTTGTGTGCCCAAGAGCAAACATTTATTGATGAGGAGCAGCATCACAGTCAGTGGGGCGCTCCAATGGACAACATCTTCCCCAATTTCATCATCATGCAGGTTGATGGCCCTGAAGAGCTCACCGAATTCCTAAGCGTCTCACAGATTGTGAGATCAGCATGACTTGCTGTGTGCGATCAAGATGAAAGCGTACAAACTTTGACAACAACACTATACAGATCTCTACGCACACGACTAGATACGTATCTGACGAGGATCAAGCACTTTCCGTACCTTAATGCAGCTCAAGATGCCAATTCTTACAACTGCTGTTCCTGATGGAATTCCAGCCCTCCACCGCTCTGCTCACTGCCCATTGTCAACTCCATTCCGTGTCATGTGCCTTCTCTGCATCATATTCCAGCATATTGTCGCTGTTGATGGTCTGTATGGTGTTCATGGCGACTTGACCAGCTTGATGGCTCACTCGCGAGCTTCAATTCTCAGCTTTGGTATGAAGTTCTTGAGGATCAGACTGATGTCGCCGTTGGCAAATGCCACCCAATCACCTTGGTAATGGGACGTCCAAGTGACTCTCGAGACTTCTGAACCCATGCCTCATGATCATGGCATCGTGTACCTCAACTTCTGGCGCTTTCAGGACCGCTGGAAGGACTTGTGCTGCTTGATGTAGGCCTTCAACTCGCCGACTACCTTGTCGTATCAATGGCAATCCTTGATGGCCAACAAAGCACCATGCCTGGCTGGTGAGTAACACAATTCCGACCGACGGTATGCTAGCTGTGCATTGCTGTCTTCCAATTCGCGTTGATCGTGCCAGTCCTCTAACCACTTCTTCCATACCTCTCTTTCTAAGTCCTTTTCAGAAAGCTTGAGAAGTCGCTATTCTTCTTCGCCGTCTTCCTTACAAGCGTCGGCAGCAGGAGACCGGATGAAGTGGAGGCGGCCTTGCTGTTTGGCCAGATCTTTGAATGCTGGGCACCAGCGTATGTCTGCTAGTGACTCTCCAGCCAGTTTCCAATCACGCAGGAGACTCTCATGGACTTCAGGTCGATCCATGAAACTTCGCAACTTTCCCATTGGTGCGGGCGAAGTGGTGCCTTGAGGAGTCGGCAGAAGATCAGGTCTGTATTGCGAGCTATTACCTGCTGAACGCTGCATCGTAAGAATAAATCGTAATGGCTTCGCAGCCTTGCGGAGACGCCCTATAGGCGTCGAGTAGTGAATGCCAGCGATGATACGTTGTCGAAGCGTTTGGCAAGCTTTATGTACACGATTGTGCTCTTCTGCAAGTCGAGAAGGTTGCATTGCCTAGCTTCAGCGTCATTCGGAGCTCGAACAAGGGTCAGCCTACCTCTGAAACCTATGCAGCTTAGTACACCAGAGCCCGTGCTGTAAGTTATGGCCATGCGCAGTCGATTGTCGAAATGAAGCCGCAGTCTGCTTTGCAGTAGCCATGCAGTGTGATACGACACTCTGTCAGATATGAAGAGGCTGTGCTTCACGGATCGTTGTTCGAGTGCATCACTGCAGCATGTATCCAACACCTTTGTGACAGGCGACACTCTGCTCTGTAGGCTCGCTGATAGCGTCCAATATTCGAATGATCTCCAACGTAGCCAGTCGGAATCTGCTCTGATAGTCACAGCCACGTGACGGGAGGCGAGACAAGGCACCGCCGTATGCTCAGACGGATGTGATGAGATCCGCCTGGTGTCCTTTACATGATGCTGCCATCGCTGAACACAGAGACCTACCGGGTATGATTCGATCGAACGCTGCCAGTAGAGGGAGATGATGTAAGAGTCGGTCGGCCTGCGCTGACACACATTATGCTAATTCCGTGGCCTTGATCAATGACCAACTTACCGACCTATTCTACTCACGTTGTTGGCGCACTCAGATCATCGATATGACGACTCGTTAGTCGTTCGATCCGCAGGACTCGCAGCGAAGTGACAGCCTCTGATGTATCGTAGTGATGTGCTTGTGGAGGCGCCTCTCATCGACGACAGTGCATGTTGTCTACGCAGTGCCTTGTCCGCCGCCTCGATTGAGGACTGTCTGATCTGAGAGCCTACGTCTGAGGCTGAGTGACCTTCTTGTCTGGCGATGGTCCCTTTGACAATGCTGGTGTTGACGTGGCCAGCACGGCAGCATCACTTCATGATTGCTGCTTGAACGCGTGTTCTAACATCATCGATCGATATAGTCTGTGACTCGCAGTCCTTCTGAGTCAACCGAAATGGCCTTGCTAGCCAGGTTCTCATCAGTTTGGCTTTCAAGTCTATCCGACGCTAGCGGGAAGCCCAATCTGCACTGGCGTGAAGTCCAGCAGCGGAGATTGTCCAAAACCCTCGTCTGTGGTCTGGGATTCATTCCAAATCAATCTACTAAGCTACATTAATGCAACGTGTCACGACTCATCCATCGTAAGGGCCTGATGGTCTAGTGGTATGATTCTCGCTTTGGGATCGGTCTTACGAGACCACATCTTGATTGCGAGAGGCCCCGTGTTCAATCCACGGTCAGGCCCCTTCTTTTGCCCTTTTGGCCTCAATGCGTGATGCCAGTGACCCGTACGCTGGCAGGGAGACTCTCTGCAGCCTGGCGCACGGCCTGGTAGCTTTGGTGCGTTCAGATGCAATATTGCGTTCAGTATCGCCCCTTCAAAGTCAGATGAATGCTGAGCGAAATTCCGAGAACATCAACGCTGAATTACACAGAGTTGTCCCTGTGCACTTTCGACGGCATACGATAGCAGACCTGGAGGGCTATGCATCAAGGCTTGATTGCCATCGATGAGGTGACCACCAGGATTTGGAGAGTACAAGGTTGACGAGGTTTCCACCTCACCTCAACTAACGACGCTCCAACCAAACACAAGACAGCTGGGAAGACGCATGAAGGAAAGATCGTGTCAGGGTGCTCCATGCAGACTACATCATACATCACAAGTGTAGGAGACAGTCCGCAGTATGGAGTAAGGAGCTTACAGCCATCGTTCACAAGTACCTACGACAAACGATGACAGCAATGGTTTCTCCCGGTCCTCGAAGGTATCTCTAGCAGGTTCGATGAATTCTCAGTGTAGATAGCAATGTTTTACACGAAGATAAAGACAAGGCACGACAATATACCCATCAAACAAGGCAGTGTGCCAAAGAAGGCCATGATCATCATTCATTACCAGCTACATCAAACAAATCCTGCAGCTGTAGCCTTCTCTCGATACTCCTCAAAGGTCTTCGCATGACCGCCACGACTATTGTTCCTAGCTCGACTATCAATATCACTCTCACCAGCATCTTCGTGGCGCATCTTCTCCTCCCAAGCCTCCTCCTCAGCTGCGATGACAGCATGGAATCGTGCCTGCTGGCCTCGAGCGAAGTAAAGTGGACCACACTTCTTCTCGGCGACATCCTGCGTAATCAAGACGTGCTTGATACCAGAGCCAGGTGTTTCGAACATGGCGTCAGCCAATAGTCGTTCCATGACAGTTCTCAATCCACGAGCGCCAGTTCCCATCTTCGAAGCAGTCGAGGCGATGATTCGCAACGCTGCAGACGTGAGTCGTAGCTCGACAGAGGATAGGTGGAAGAGCTGTTCGTACTGCCGCACCAGACTGTTGCGTGGCTCTGTCAACACCTTTACGAGCGACTCAACGTCCAGCGACGAAAGTGCACACGATAGAGGTATGCGACCAACCAGTTCGGGGATCAGTCCAAACTTCTGCAGATCCTGTGGCTCGACGAGATCCAACGTGTTGTAACGACCCTTGTCGCCAGCATCGTAGTATGGTAAGTGCTTTTCGAACAGCTCGGCTTCGCCCTCTAAGACAGTCTCATCTGATGACGGCCTCGACCTTACAGCAGCACCAAAACCAATGCTGCCCTTGCTAAGTCGATCTAGGATCATCTTGTGCAACCCGTTGAAGGCACCAGCACAGATGAACAAGATGTTGTCAGTCTTGACGCTGTACACTTCTCCCTTTTGACCTGCATTCTGCTGACCAAGATTTCCACCAGAGAGCGGACTATTAGTCGGATACTGGCCTGGTCTCGTCGTCCGATCCTTCGCCTGAATCTGAAGTGTTGTACCCTCAATGATCTTCAGCAAAGCTTGCTGCACTCCTTCACCACTGACATCTTTGCCATGGCTGACCTTCGCCGTAGCGATCTTGTCGATCTCGTCCAGACAAATAATACCACGCTCGGCTCTTGTGACATCGTAGTTCGCAGCAGCCAGCAGTCGCTGTACACACACATCTGCATCCTCTCCTATGTATCCAGCTTGCGTGAACGGCGTGCAATCAGACATGCTGAATGGCACTTCCAGCACCCTGGCCAACGTCTTTGCCATCAATGTCTTTCCCACTCCTGAAGGTCCCAGCAATAACACGTTGCTCTTCTCAATCGTCAACGGCATCGAGTCCTGGAGTGGATTCGGAGTGTAGTTGTTCACAACTGTTTGTGCTTGGCCAGGGAACTCATCTTCCCATGTCAGTGAGGGTACGACAATGCCTCGTTTGAGCTCGCCCTCCCTACCTTCGACAGGATGTCGCTGAGCATGCCGCCTCCTCTCTTCACGAGCCTGTAACTCCTCTTCTTCCTCGTCGCGCCTTTGAAGCTCTTGTATACGCTGATAGTGGTTGTAGACGGCCGTGGCAAGCGCCTTCTTCGCACGGTCTTGCCCTACGACATACTGATCGAGATGCTGCTTCAGGAGGATTGGAGTGATTCGCGGTGCGCCGATATTGCTCGCATCTCTCAACGGCCCTTCTGTTGGGCCACCTGGCTCGTAGATGCTCGAATATGGCTGGTTGGATAAGCTCTTTCGACGAGCACTACTAGAGATGTGTCGTTGAGATAGGAATACCTGCTGGCGGATGATCGCTGATATGCCAATGTAAGTCAGCCGAGCCGGCGGTATCGTTGAGATCATCGTCGACTTTCGAGAGTGATGCTACATGGTAGATGTGCTGGACAGGGCAGATTGATGAATACAGACAACTAGTGACTCATGACATGCGAGACGATCCCCGCTGTGTACTTCAGCCGAAGGTACGTCAAGACAACAAACCACAACAGGCACTTTGGCTGATGATATTGCTAGGCATTGTGTAGGCTCTGAGCCAGCCGCAGCTCTCGTTCGTACTTCAGTAGTCCTCTGAAGCAACGGTAGGCGATGTGTCAAGCAATCGTGAACCAACAAGAGAGATATGCAGCATGTTTATGTATGACGGCTCACTGATCGAGTGCAATGAGTACTATAGTACGTGTGTCTACATGATTTTGTTCGTATAGGGTGCCACGGATGGTGTTGCAAGGGAGCAGCATGAGTCAACCTGCAGTTCGCATCTCACCGTCGTAGCGAGGCTCTACGACTTTGCCGGTAAACCACAGATCGGAACAACGCCAGCTGCATACTTATAGCAACCTGATGACGCTCACAGATACCACACAACCGTAAGGAGCACCGCAGCAGAGAGCAATGTCCCTGGCACAGTCCAGGTCAAGCCATCACCAGTGTAGGTAGCTGTACCAGCTGTTGCATTCGTTGTTGAAGTTGGGCTGCTGCTGGGCGCGGTTGTAGTGTTTGATGCATTTGTCCCATTGCCAATTGCAGCCTGCTTACTGACTGCTGGATACGACCACTGGCCATCGAGGAGCGACTGCTGCGCATCGTATATTCGGAGGGTCAATGCCATACGTCCACCACCTGGAGGACCAGGCAAGAAGTTGTTACTCCAGTTTGATGGTGGTGCAATGTCGGCAGGCTGTATGAGCACCTGAAACGTCTGGTTCAACGAGGTTCCATACACTCGTGTACCATCGGCGTAGGTGAAATTACTGCGCTCCGAGGTGATGGCATACGTGTTGTACTGATTCGCAATCAGGTAGTTGTCCTGATACGCTGTCAAACTCCAGAACCCAGTGTCCGTCAATGGCGGCTTGCCCGAGAAGGTCAACACGATTGCATCATTCGGACCAAGAGTGAAGTCGCCTCCCAGCGCTGCAGAGTCGCCGATGGACAAGCCTGGGTAGATGGCGTTAGGAGATCTGATTGCGAGGTAGCCACCACTGGCCACGGCAGTGCGGAAGGCGTAGTTATCGTCGTAAATGCCAATCAGAGATGAGTTCGCTACGGTCCAGTTGTTGTCAAGTGTGGTCCTCGCTGATGGAGCTGCTGCTGCACTGGCGGCTGTCGCGACAGCTGTCTGGTTCGCTTGAGTGATGTTGACATTCGGTGACGTGTATGTGCCATTCCCTATGCCTGCGATGGCCAACGTTGCTGTCACATTTTGAGCCAGCTCTGTCGAATCCGGGAGAGTATAGCGCTCGAAAGCTGTGAGGAGATTCAGAACATTATCTGCGGGAGTCCTGCTAGAGCTGATGACAGGCAAGGAAGCTAATGCTGGTGCTCGTGCCAATGCAGCTTCCGTAGCGTTGATCGTTCGGTCTTGCCAGTCGTGTACTTGGTCGATGTTGGTGTTGTTAACGAGCCACCGGATAAGCAGGAAGCCATAGATCGAGGACGTCTTGATAGTTGCTACTACCGTGTCGTTGCCGGAAGAGATCTGCGGCGTTGGCTCGGTCGTGCGAGGCTGCAAACGATAAGTACCTGGTGTGTTTGTGTTTAATGATCCAAGGTTGACATAATTCGTGCCAAATGGATCAAAAAACGAGATCAAATGGAATTGACTGTCTGGGATGCCTTCAGGAATTGAGACTAGAAGGTCGTCGTGGCTGAGATCGTAGACCATAGAGGAGTACAGTGTGTCGACATTCGGCTTGACCACAAACTTGTTGCTTGGTGTTTGGAAATCCCGAAAGTGAAGCCATTTGTTGACGCCTGTCGCATTGACCTGTATCCTGATCTTCTCATACGCTAGAAGTGGATAGCCGTATGTCAGAGCAAATGTTGTCGCATCCTGTGCCGAGATGTTCTGCGCAAAGCCATGGGTGAAAGCACTAGCGAGAAGGAGCAGGGCAATCGACTTCATATTGGTGGAGGCTCAGATCCAAAGCTACAGAGTCGCTGTCTGCCTGATGGGTCGGTGCACTTCGCAATGCCCCATATTATAGACATGCTAGGCAGTCAGCATTGATCAGGGCACGTCACAAACGGAAAGATGAGGTTAGAGAAGAGGAGGCGGTATAATTTAGCCTCGGGACCGGCAACATCGCGTTCTTTTTGAGCGAGACTATGAGCTTGGCAACGAGCTCTCATCAGCTCACGAACTGCAGCTACACTGCATAGCTCTCTGGTAACGTGGGACATCACCGCAAAACCTCTCTTCCTCCTCCTTGTTCCATCCCCATTCATCCTTAAAGGGCTCTAACGCCATTGCCATGATCCGGTCGAGGATCTCTCTCTCGCCATTCTTCTCCACGCGCTCAATGAGCTCGTCCAGTATCCATGACCGTGGCACAAACTTCGGATTCGCGTTCTTCATCTCTGCAGCTCTGGAAGCATCTGCCTCGGGAGTTTCCTTCCAGTCTTCGATGATTCGAACCCTCCACTTTTCGAGCC